CATGCCCACTATAAGAGCCTTAAGAGAATATCCCCAATATATAAGCAGAAAATGATAGTTGCATATTCAAAAAATAAGAACTTAAATGATAATATTGTTCATAGTAAACTAAAAACAATCAGTACATGACAGATACTATACTTCTCGCTCATCGGGCGAGTTATTTTTTCTAATTTCAGATCAGAATAAGAACAGAAGAAAACCCAATATCAAGACCTTTAATCCTAATTTCTAAATAAAGTGTTTGCTCCACCCTAGGCCTGTACATTTGGGAGAATCAAACCCTCCCTTCCCCGAAATCTATCTAAATCGGCATCATTTGCAACATTTCTTACCGGTTCTTTTAACACTCTTCCATCGCCAACATCGGGTATCCAACCTGAGACTGAATCGAAATCTTAAGGATATAAAACTGTTTTCAACATTGTGTCGAATTTCCCAGGGTGTTTGATTGTTTCTATCGGATTTGAACCAGCTTCCAAAACCATCTCGCTAAATAAAGATGGAAAGAAATTGTTTTCTAACGTTGTATTAGTTTGTGGTACTTGATTCTGAGTTCCATCTTTAATTTTGAAATCACATCTGAAATAAGCATCGGAAAGAAGCAACCATTTCGATAATGAATTTATTTCGAAGGTAATTCTACCACCATCATTCAATTGGGATTTAGAACCAACAATCGGTGAGATTATAATATAATCCTCTTTTTTCTTGTAAAATGAATAACGAATAGGATCGTATAATCTAAAGATTGGATCTAGTATTTTATTTGCCATTTTTAAGGTTTAATATTTGAGTAGAAAATTGTTTTTTTCCAAAACAAGAGTTATCTCCCTTTTTTCTAGAAGTTTCTAGACTAAAATAACATTACTTACAACGAAACTATTAAAAAATGTTATGTTATTTTATATAAGGGTATTTTTAATATGCTTTTTTTGATGGAATGTAGGAAATTGATTGAAGGTGTTTTTGGTAAATGAAATGTAATGCTGTTTAGGGTGTAATAATTTATAGGGAGTTTAGGTCTTTTTTTAGTGTAAGAATTTATGAAATGTAGGGTGTTTAGGTTTTTTAGTATATGAAATGGTAAGTCGGCATATGGTAAAGGGGGGTGTAATGTACATACACTGGATGGTCAATTTGGTAAAAAAAATTTTTTGGTAAACCGGTAAATGGTAGAATGGCATAAGGTAATGTACACATACTACTACCCTAGTTGTGGATCTAGTATACTAACCTAGTATTGATCTTATATACTTTCTCAAGTTGTTTGAACTTGTATACTTACCCCAGTTGTTCTTGTATACCATACCCTAGTAGAGTAATAACTCTCGTATATTAATCTTGTTTGATTTTCAAATTATTTATTTCAACCGTTGTGACCAACTTATGTCTTCCTCCGCCAAGCCCATTTCTAGTCTAGTCAAATTACCCATAACATTAACACTGTCTCCAATAGATTAGCCCGACTATCTTTGCCTGCAGCTTCGTGGGCGGACGGAATTCTTGGGGATGACGACCCCTGTCTGGTATGGACACCTTTGCACTTTCGCACGTTTTAATTTATATATTTAAATATACATAATTAATTGTTATCTATTATCAAATTACTAAATATTGATAACTATTTATTTATTTACGAATATCATATTTTCTGTATTATGTCTTTTCACTGTATTAGGTGCCGGATTTAGCATAAGCTTCGGCTTGTTTCCGAAACCTTACTTATTTTCTATAAAAATTTCATTTAATATAGAAATAAAATATTGTTTAAATCATGAAGAACTCAAGAACATCAAAATACTTTACTAAATCAATACAGAAAAACATTACTCCAGGCTGATTTGGGTGAGTACAAAGCGGCACGGAATAGATTCAAACGATTATGTGACTCACGGAAATTGTCCCGTTCAATACAACCAGCAATCGAGCAAGAAGGATAGTTCATGCCCACTATAAGAGCCTTCAAGAGAAACCCCCCATGTCTATAAGCAGAAAATGATAGTTGCATATTAAAAAAATAAGATAATATTGTTCATAGTAAACTAAAAACAATCAGTACATAACAGATACTATACTATTTTTTTTCTAATTTCAGATCAGAATCAGAAGAAAACCCAATATCAAGACCCTTACTCCTAATTTCTAAATAAAGTGTCTGCTCCACCCTATGCCTGTACATTTGGGAGAATATAAATATATAAGCAGAAAATGATAGTTGCATATTCAAAAAATAAGAACTTAAATGATAATATTGTTCATAGTAAACTAAAAACAATCAGTACATGACAGATACTATACTTCTCGCTCATCGGGCGAGTTATTTTTTCTAATTTCAGATCAGAATAAGAACAGAAGAAAACCCAATATCAAGACCCTTAATCCTAATTTCTAAATAAAGTGTCTGCTCCACCCTAGGCCTGTACATTTGGGAGAATCAAACCCTCCCTTCCCCGAAATCTATCTAAATCGGCATCATTTGCAACATTTCTTACCGGTTCTTTTAACACTCTTCCATCGCCAACATCGGGTATCCAACCTGAGACTGAATCGAAATCTTTAGGATATAAAACTGTTTTCAACATTGTGTCGAATTTCTCAGGGTGTTTGATTGTTTCTATCGCATTTGAACCAGCTTCCAAAACCATCTCGCTAAATAAAGATGGAAAGAAATTGTTTTCTAACGTTGTATTAGTTTGTGGTACTTGATTCTGAGTTCCATCTTTAATTTTGAAATCACATCTGAAATAAGCATCGGAAAGAAGCAACCAATTCGATAATGAATTTATTTCGAAGGTAATTCTACCACCATCATTCAATTGGGATTTAGAACCAACAGTTGGTGAGATTATAATATAATCCTCTTTTTTCTTGTAAAATGAATAACGAATAGGATCGTATAATCTAAAGATTGGATCTAGTATTTTATTTGCCATTTTTAAGGTTTAATATTTGAGTAGAAAATTGTTTTTTTCCAAAACAAGAAGGTGCAATTCATGACGGAGTTTGATGAAACTTGGTGTGAGTGTTTGTTATCACCCAAGGATGGACCCTATTTAAAATCAGAAAGATCGAAAAATAATTAGTATGAGCTATTGCCCTTGTTCTTGAAAACGCCTTCAATTTTAGTTTGTAAACACTCTATAAGGCACAATTCTTGATGGATTTTGACGAAACTTGGTTTGAGTGTTTGTAATCACCCAAGGATAAACCCCATCGAATATCAGAAAAATTGAAAAATATTTAGTATTAGTTATTGCCCTTGTTCTTGAACAATTTTTAGTTCGTGAACACTCTAGAAGGCACAATTCTTGACGGATTTTGACGAAAATGGCATGAGTGTTGGTTATCACCCATGGATAAATCTTATTGTAAATCAGAAAAATCGAAAAATCTTTAGTATGAGCTATTGCCCTTGTTTTTGAAAACTCGTTCAATTTGTAGCTCGTAAAAATTCTAGAAGTCATGATTCTTGCCGGATTTTGAAAAAACTTGGTTAAGTTATTCTGTACCGCGCTGACGATTGAATATAGCGTTTTCACGAGCTAAAGAGTGAACACATTTTCAAGAACAATATTTCATACTCAATATTATTCAGAATCGCCCTAAAGAGTTCAAAAGAAGTGTATGACTGAAGGTTGAATATTTCCTATTAGTGATCGTTACTGTACAGCTAAATATTTTTATTCAAAATCAAAGCTGCCAGTGGGCGTATATTACCTTGCCTGGCTAGCTATCTTGTTAATTGCAAGAAAATTATTGAACGGATTTAAACAAATTAAACGCTTCGCCTAATTCTACTGAAGGTTCCAACTAAATTATAGAGCCATTAAAAGGACAAACATCAAAACTAGGTCAAACTAAGTAATTAACGATCCATTTTAATAATTAACCCATTGAAAACAAATTCAGTTTGATCCAGTAGATACATAGATATCAATAGCGAGGAAAAAGGCGAGGAAAAGGGAGAGAAAGCGAGGAAAAAGGCGAGAAAGCGAGGAATAAAGCGAGGAAAAGGGCTAGAAAGCGAGGAAAAGGGGGAGGAAAAAGGCGAGAAAGCGAGGAAAAAAGCGAGGAAAAGGGTGAGAAAGCGAGTGTAAAAAGACGAGGAAAAAGGCGAGGAAAAGCGCGAGAAGGCGAGGAAAACGGCGAGAAAGGCGAGAATAAAAAATGCAAGAAGTCGAGAAAGCGAGGAAAAAGGCGAGAAAGCTAGGAAAAAGGCGAGAAAGCGAGGAAAATTTACTAGTGTGAGAATTTCAAAAAGTTCCTATGACGGCTAAGCCTTGCAAATTGCCCGTAAACTTTGAGTAATACTGTAATTTTGGCTCGAGTTAAAATGAGTAATTTACACTGTGTTGAGTATGGTCTGATTGTACTAACGGGACTCCTATTACAGTCAAGTAACCTAATATCGTGCTAACCTATTTTTCGTGCATTTCCGGAAAAGGATTAATAATTTACATGTGCAACCTCGCGTGACCTCCGCATTTGCTTGTTTTGATAACCATGGGTTTTCTGTACAATGTCAGCTAGTAGAATGAATCCAGTAGTTTCAAGCAAGGTAAAATGTATTAATGTTTACTTTGACAAATACAAAATGGCGGATTTTAGTTATTAGCAAAGGTCACCATTTTTTATCGGCTGAATTTCCTTATAATCCCAAGCGGTAATCGGAATTCCAAGTGTCGTCTGCTAGAATGTAGTCCAACGAATGAAGTCACGTGGTCAACTAGCGGATTCCGTGCCAGCAGAAAAATTCTACAGAACACAATGTGGGCCGTATTCGTATGTTGTTTCAATGAGCTACGTATCTTATTTTGTCAGTCACTATTTTTTTTAAAATCATGGTTCTTTGCAGGAATTGTCATTAGTTATAATGAATTGATATTAAAGATAAATACTAAGAGTAGTTAATTATACCATGGGTATCAATACAACGTGTTTTTCTCGACTTATTTATAGATAAAACATTGTACACGAAAATAGGCGACGCATTTTGCAGCCGTTGTCGAGTTGGTTAGTCATGAAATATTGGTCAAAGTGAGGGATTCATAAAAAGAATCGAAACAAACCAATTTTAATTATACTGTAGAATATTTGAGGAAACATCAAAGACATTTTAAAAAAATTCCGTTTTTTTAACTTTGACGAAATTCGGTGTTGAATCCTTATATGCACGAAAATAGGTTACACCACTGTAAGCCTGTATCAATTTTTAGTTACGGGAGTCTTGGTTTTTATTTACTTAACGTCATTGTTTCTTCTTTTTTTTTTCTTTTTTTAAACAATATTTATTGAAGAATTACAAATATTACAATATACATATAGATAAACACATGGTTTTGGAAACAAGCTTAAAAGCTTATATAAATCCATTACCATTGTTTCTTTGATTGGTTCTGTTAATTTTCTCTTCGCTCATTGGCTTAAGAAAAGAGCGACCTTAGTTCGTGTATACCAATGTAGTTGTCAAGTCGCCATTCATCACTTGGAAAGTACACTTGGAGTTTGACCTGTTACTTTATATTATTTACCCATCCACCTTTCCCTATTAACCGTACAGCTTTTGTTTCTTAAAAATTTCATTATCATACAAACTCATTACGTATTTCACACTTTACAAATCGTAGGCCTATATATGTTTTGTTATTTATGTTTATGGTAATAAAATCATGCCAAACCATTTTGTATTCACTCTTTGTTAATTTGCTCATATATAGGTCATATTTTTCGATAGATGTAGGCCTATGTCTTGAATGGACCATTGTACAAAAAGTAAGATTATATTGTATGAATTTCAAAAAGTTTCTATGGCGGCTAAGCCGTTTAAATTGCTGTTTAACTTTGGTAAGTTTCACCTTCCATGAAAAAAAGTAGGTCTTAAATGGGCCATCGTACAAAGAGTAACGGAGGTAGACACATGGGTTTTTGCGAAATTCCAAGAATACTTATGTGCATTTCTCATTAAAATTTTAAGTTATTTTAACAACATTTCAGTTAAGAATAATTCACATTTTATATTGGATCTATTTTCAGCAAATGTGTATGCTGAGACGATTCGACCGTGCATGCTAGTTGAATGTGTATGCAGGTTCAGCCCGTCACGTTCCCACTCCGCCGAAAATTATTAGCGTAACTGGGGGCAAATGTGAACAAGACTTTTGGAAGCTACACTCTGTTAAAAATTTGAAGCAATTTCTACAACATTTAAAGCCGAAAAATCTGTTATTTTCAATAGGTCGAATTGACTTGTCAAAACGTCCGCACTTTTATTGTATGCTGTCTCACCATACGCTAACTTCAGCCCGGTCACTGATTACTACTCTTTACTTTCATTGCAGTATTTTGCAATTTGATTGTGTCTGATCTGTCCTGAATCTTTTATGAAGCAGAACTGCACCGGGCTGAACTTAGTTTACACATTCAACTAGCATACAGATTCGGGTCCAATCGTCTCAGCATACGCATTCGCGGCAAATCGACCCGATATGAAATCTGAATCATTTCAAACTTAGATATTGTTAAAATAACTTAAAATTTTTTAATGACAAATACACATAAGAATTCTCTCAATTTCTAAATGTCAATGTCTAAATCTCTTAGTCTTTGTACTGTGGCCCATTTAATACATATTTTTTTATGGAAGCTGAAACCTACCAAATTTCAACGGCAAATTAAAAGGCTTAGCCGTCATAGGAACTTTTTGAAATTCATACTACACTAGACCTCATTCGAAATATCAAATCACTAAGTTGCTGTCTCCCTTACTTTTTGTACGGAGGCCCATTGAAGACACACTAATCTACATATATATGGCCTATATAAGTATGTTACTCAGAGTTTACGGGCAATTTGCGAGGCTTAGCCGTCATAGAAACTTTTTGAAATTTAAACCATACTATCTCACACTAGTCCTCATTCGAAATATCAAATCACTAAGTTACTGTCTCCCTTACTTTTTGTACAGAGGCCCATTGAAGACACACTAATCGACATATATATGGCCTATATAAGTATGTTACTCTGAGTTTACGGACTATTTGCGAGGCTTAGCCGTCATAGAAACCCTTTGAAATTTATACCATACTATCTCACACTAGTCCCCATGCCAAATATCAAATTAGAAAGTTGCTGTCACCTTTACTTTTTGTGCGGAGGCCCATTAAATACATACACTAATCGACATAAATATGGCCTATGTAGAATAAGACTAAGAGTTTACGGGCAATTTGCAAGTTTTAGCCGTAAAAGGAACTTATTGCAATTCATACCATACTACCTCACACTAGTCCTCATTCGAAATATCAAATCACCAAATTGCTGTCTTTTTTACTTTTTGTACTGAGGCCCATTAAAGACATACATTAATCGACATATAAATGGCCTATGTAGAATAATACTCAGAGTTTACGGGCAATTTGCGAGTCTTAGCCGTCATAGGAACATTTTGAAATTCATACCATACTATCTCACACTAATCCTCATTCGAAATATCAAATCACCAAGTTGCTGTCTCCCTTACTTTTTGTAAGGGACCCATCCAAGACATACACCAATCGACATATATATAACCTATATAAGAACATATCCCAGTGTATGTAGAATAAGACTCAGAGTTTACGGGCAATTTGCAAGTTTTAGCCGACATAGGAACTTATTGCAATTCATACCATACTACCTCACACTAGTCCTCATTCGAAATATCAAATCACCAAATTGCTGTCTCTTTTACTCTTTGTACAGAGGCCCATTAAAGACATACACTAATCGAGATATAAATGGCCTATGTAGAATAATACTCAGAGTTTACGGGCAATTTGCGAGTCTTAGCCTTCATAGGAACATTTTGAAATTCATACCATACTATCTCACACTAGTCCTCATTCGAAATATCAAATCACTAAGTTGCTGTCTCCCTTACTTTTTGTACGGAGGC